AGAAAATTTATATCATGTAAAGAATTATGTAATCGTTGCCACATGTTCTATTCAAATGCTATAATAAATCTAAAACGATATAGAAAAGAAATTAAGCAAAGAAGAACAACAACAACAAAAAAAAAAAAAAAAAGTTTTCCACAGACGATTCAGTATTTCTCATTCAATTAATTCAGCTCTCACTTCGCTACAAAGCAAAAATACAAAAAAACTCAAAATGTCTGTATTCAAAATTATGAAGTAAATCTTAAACACTTATTTGCTCGAATAAATTCCGGAATGGATTAAGCATGATTTAATTCGTAATAATTAAATGAAGGCGTTATTTTTGTTATTGCGAAGCTTACTTTCTCTAGATTGGCAACAGATCTACTATTCTGTTGTTTCAAATGTAAACAAGCGATGGCCGACATGGCAAAAATTATTAGGCTTAGCGGCACTTACACAACATTTAAATTGTTGATAATTCTAAAAATATTGCATACAGATTTACTAAAGGCATAAAAACCTTAACCGGAAGATAAGAACAGCATAATTGAATCATTTTTAAAACAAAAAATTACAAACATATAAGAATAAAGAAACTGAGATCATTGAGCCGAGTAACAAAGTGGATATGTATATTTATATACTTTTGGTGGGGCCGATTGCAACCAAAATACGAGGTGCACATATATATGTTATATACAAAATTTCAATGTTCTGAGGCTACTCGTTTTTGAATTATGCGAGATACGTACGTACGCACAGACGCCACTAAAAATTCTCTTCAGAATTCATTTTAAATTAGTTTTACAATTTTTTTTTGGGGGGGAAGAATCTTTTATTCTGTTCTTACGAACAGATGTCAAGCAAAAACATCATTAAATTGCATTCGATAGCGGTGAAGATGGATATTTGCGTTGAAATATGATGCCTGAAACTTTTCGTGATTACAATACTTGTTTTTTACTTCGTACAAGGAAGTAAAAAACTGAGCCCTGTCTATAATATTACGACAAGTTTTGAGATTTTCACGTATGTTCTATAAAGAAATGATCTTCAGTACAATAGTTTACCTAAAATACCTTCAAAACTTTATGCAGATAAGATAAAACATGCAAAAAGTATCAAATAGGTTTTTAAATTATATACAAGCCTTCGCGAAACAAGAACTGCCTTCAGAGGCATTCATCAATCTGCCAATTCCACAAAGAGATAAAAGTAATAAATTTGAGTAAGAGTAAAAATATGTAGGCGCAATTTAACGGCCATATTTCTTACTGCTTAGAATGCCTTGCAGTTAAAAAATCACATCAATGCCATATAAAGGAAAACGCGATTTATAAGTCTATCTCAAATAAAAAAATATTTAAAGACTCGGAAAAAGAAAAGAATACACAAAAAAAGAAAACTTTTTTTTCTTTCCTCCAAATATATGTGCTGAAAAACATGAAATCAGTTTCCTATATTGTGAGAGAGAGCTATGTGAAAAGCTATAATAATTTAAGAGCTTTTATGAACTCAGAAAAATTTCAATCTTCTAAATCCAATTTTCTTATTTTCCTTCTTATTTGATTAACGTAGTTTAAATAATTGATTATACGTGGAAATAAATTATATTAATGATGACCAAAATTGAATTACGACCTTTAATTTTAATACGTGCATTTCATTATTTTTCAAGTTATGCGACATTCAGCAATATTTTAATTCGCAAACACCATAGACGCCTTTCTCTAACATGTAGTTCAAATCTTTTTATTCAAAAAAATATTTTAAAAAAGTATTCCCCAGCATGCTTTTAATGAAAATTCAGGATACGGCCCTTAAGCAATAAATTTTTAAAGAAGATCATGAAAATTATAATGTCCAGATTCAGAATTCGTTTGAGACAACTAAGGAATAGATAATTCATTCACGATTGCATACATTTGCACACATTCGCTAAAATTCATGTATCTGTTACAGATAAATTAAAACTATTGCACAAATTCAAACAATGCAATACGATTCAAAGAGTCTTTAGATTAATACCTTAGTATTATAAATATCTACTTGGGAGAGGGCTCTTTTTCGGGCAACGCAGTAATTTCAGCGAAATAACGCCAAAATTTCTGTTTTGTAAATTAATAAAGAGTTCAAGAACTCCGCAAATCGATGACGAAAATGAAACAAAAATTGTTGAATATTTTATATAAAAAATTGATCATTTAGTAACAGGCCAAAAAGTGCAAGCTATAAATTTTTGTTTTGACATAGGGGGGGGGACCGGACATGATGTTACCTTTTCACAGATTTTACTTTTTTCCTGATGCAAAATGACATTTTTAAGAAATGATTATTGGCGTGTTTCTTTTTCACAGCATATGGTATTTTAATCAACGATAAGTAAATACGCTTAAATTAATTTAAATATTTTTTTAAGGTTCATGTATCCTATATCAAGGAACGATTGAATTTTTTATTAAAAACATATCTTCCCAGTCAAAAATTTAAATAATTTAGAATTAAACATTTTATTCCTAACATACTGTAATTAATACATAATATTTCAAATAAACAGTGATCACTGTTTTTTTTCCCTTTTGACAGTATCAAATATAGGTAACCATTCTTTTGTGTTAAACCCAGTCTGCCAAATTTGCATGAAATTCATGGGCAGGAATTGGCTCTAGCGTAGAATTGGGTCCCCTTCGATTAGCGACAAATTTTGGCGATGAAACCCCATTTCTGGCTACCACGATAGTTTTAACTTTGTTTTAGCTTCCTGATTTTTGTAAGTGAAAATAGATCAATGTGTACATGGACAAAGTTAAGGCAGTGCGCAATGGCTAGTTTGTGCAATTCTCTGATGTTTTTATAAGTGAAAATAGATCGATGTGTACATGGATACCGTGTTTGTGCAATTCTTTGGCTTCTTATTTTGGTTTTGTGTAGCGACCATCTTGAAATTTTGCCTTCCTGGCGCCAATCTTGGCGTCAAAAGAAAGTCCCCTAAAAAACAAGGGGCACCCAATTGTAAACTTTTGCCTAGGAATTTATCAATAAACATAAACTCAAAATAATAAAACTATGAACTGAAATCCAAAAAGAACAGGAAGGGCTTAATCCTAGTATCCGGTGCTCACGGGATTTGGCGACTTTTATGATGAGCAGCAAAAACGGGGCATATACGATGAATTGTAAACGGGTATTCAAAGAATATATATAGTTATACATAGTATATACTATGTACATAGTGTATAGTATATACATAGACATTCTTCGGGTCATTTTTGGTGTTGGCGATAATTTTCAAAATCGCGCCAAGGCTGCACCGTATACTAGGATTTCACCACAGGAAGTATACAACCCCAGTAATAAAATTAATAAATAAACTTTACCTATAGCAATTAGGTAATACGTATTTTGATTAACATTTCTTTCTTATCATTTTCTACTATATTTTCTTTAATATATCAAAAAACCGAAATCATTCCTGTATTTAACTTACGAATTAAACAACTTCCTTTCCACCGAGATTCGGTTAATAAACGAAATTTTCACATTCAAGGATTGTATTAAAATACTATAAGCTAAGCTTATTTTTATACATTTAAATCTATATTATTACGTAAGACTAATTACATGTAACATTTTTTTACGATATATATTAAAAAGACCAAAATAATTATTCCTATATTATATGAAACTTGACCACAGCATCCTTACTTTCTCAGATAATAATCTCTAAGCGTATCGTATGCTTAAAACAAAATTGGGTAAAGTGCAGAATCGCCCACTTATTTGTTTGGCGCTTTTTACAAGAGTAAGAAGAATTGGATTTTTGTTAATTTTCTTTGACTTTTTAAGTGAAAATAGGTCGATGTGTACATGGATAAAGTCAAGGGAGTGCGCAATGACATTTTTTTTTTTTTTTTTTTTAAGTGAAAATAGGTCGATCTGTACATGGATACCGAGTATGTGCAATTCGTAAAAGCGCGCCAAGCAGTGGATGATTCTGCACTTTCCCCAAAAAATTTCCGTTTTGGATAGTAAATAAACATAGTTAATTTTCTACTCAAATTCCCTTGATTTCAGCAATAGTGAAAATAGATTACATCATATAAATATAAAAAAAATAAGTACTTAAAGCTGCAAATAATATAAAGAAATTTACCATCAGCATACACACTTTAAGCAAGTTGAACTTGCTGTATTTAGCAGTTAGTTTCTCGAGTTAAAATAATATTGCTGAAAATGATTATTTAGATACTGTTCACTCAGGAATCGAGTACTTATAGTAGTAAATAAATACATCCGCTTTCTCCTCTCTACAGACTTCTACAAGCTCAGAAGGTATACATATAAATTTAAACTGAGATTTCACAGTAGTTTCATACATGCACTGCATATATTTTGCGGTCGAAGCGGTTAAAAAGTTTCTTTCATGAAGATTAGAATGAATGTTTTACAAATTTAAAAAAAGAAAAAAAAGTATATAAAAGCCTTATACGGCACAACACCAAGGCAAGAGAAAATGAAAGCATGGAGTTTAACAAGGAAAAAATGAAGCGTTAAATAACGTTAAAAATTAGGCAAAAAACTCAAAAGAAACACACCATCTTATTAAAATTTAGGAATATTGTATTATAACTAAAGCACAGAATATAAAATGTTGTAGCTTATTAAATGTGCAATTCTCTCTTTAAGCAGCATGCTATAAAATAGGAAAGTGTATGATAATCATTAACAAGAATTACAAATTCGAATTAACAAATTTGATAAACTTCTTTGCATTTCGATTTGTTCATACTGCACAAAATAAAATTGAGTTTTTAACTGAGGAAAGTTCGAGAGGAAAATTTTACCACTTGACATATTAAATATTTCACATCATTTCACTGGAAAAGATCATAAAAATATATTTTAAGAATTATAACTATGAACTTTGTTTACAATCATTACAAAACACTTACAAATCTTAAGGAATTTTAGCCTTCATATTTGAAGAGTCCTGTTGTGAAATTGCACATAAATCATTTCGTGGGTTTATTATGAGCTATCACATTTTGAAGAAGTTTCCCACAAATATTCTTGTTCTCCATCTCTTTCCATTCATCGGTTGAATAAATTTCTTGCAGATGATTTGAAAAAAATTCCAGAGCTCTTTGATACAAATCATCATCGCAATGCATATGTGCTAACTGGAGAATTTTGCACACATTTTCGACAGTAATACTGGATTTGAGAAAGGACGAGCACACATTTTTGAGAGCCGAAATATCATACTTATCAGCTATAGTATAAAGCTGCATAACTATTTGTTCACAAAATTTTCCCACTTTTCCAGTATATAGAAAAAGAAACATTTCATGCATAACATCAGGATCCACATCAGAAATCTCTACCTGGTTGTTTCTCGATTCTATCATTTCGGTTTCGAACATTCCTGCAAAACACCGAAGACTGGGAACACAGAATAAATTTGTGCACGGAAAAATCTTCTCGAATCAGCTACTATAGTAACGTCAGATAATGTTCCCATTTTCATAAAGATTTCGAAGGCTTCTGTTTTTAAGTTATTATCTTCCGATCGAAGTTGCAAAGATGCAAGAAGATTCCACAATCTCGGACCTCAGAATAAAAACTGCCAGTTAGATAATTTAAATTCGCATCTGAGTAACAACATATCACCTGGGTCTGAAGATATATTCCGCGAAAACTCAGCACATTTCCAATTTTCATCCTGCTTAAACAAATGTTCCTTTTCAGAAGAATTAGCCTCATCGAACGATATGTTGGTTCTCACGAAAATCGGTTTGAGGTTATGATCAGGTATTTTGCAAATGAAAATACTAAAGATCTGATCAGTTTGTGTTTTTTCGCAGATGTGTACTCTTAAACTCCATTTATTAAATTCCGGGGTATCTATCTTAAATTCGTGATACAACTCTGTATTAACGGGCAGGCTAGAGAAAGTTCTCTATTGGCCACACAATGGAAATTTTTTCAGTATTAATGCGAGTTTCCCACGCTTTCATTCTACCAGGCGGAGGACTGAGAATGCGGACTCCATACTTTGCTGCAGTGACAGAGATCTCCTGGAAGTTATGCACGTATTCTAATTTTCCAGTATAAATATACTTGATCATGGCTGCGAGAATGTTCGGTCTAATATCGAAATCTTGGTAGGAACACTTTTGTTCATCGAGTCTTTTTGCCAGTTCAGGCCACCTTGCCCACAAGATAGCTTTATGCACTTTGAATTCTGAACCGCGAGCTCGTAACAAGACGTCCGTGAACAATCCACTGTTATAAAGCACTGCAGGAAATATCTCTTGAGGATTACTTTCAGAAAATGGTTTCAAAGTATATTTTATAACGAGAATATCGCTAATAAGAGCCCTTAAAACAACATTCCTTTCAATAAATTCTTTATATCCCCAAGCATATTTTCCTCTAAATACAGTGCCTAGGGTACGGTTTGCTTTTAGGGTGGGAGATTCGATTTTATTACAAGCGATGAATTTAGTAACGAAACTTACTGTACAGGCTTCTTGAAGATCATCCTGTCTGCTGAGAAAAGTACTTATGTAATTTTCATCCGAGTTCCCTCTTGGATATAATTTAATGCACCATTTCATGCCGGGTAAAGAGTTCAATTCAAACAACGGGCTGTAAATATATTCTTTCTTTGAATGCTGGAACATACTGAAATTTTTAATAATCCACACAAACGTAAAGATTTCCTCGTTTTGTTTCTCCATTGCAACTAGATTATATCCTTTTACCAGCTTGTCTGTTGTTAAATAAAATTTCGCACTGAAACAAGTATCGTGTGACCTTCGCTCAGTTTCAATGACAATAATGAGCTCAAGCAAAGAAAGTCTACGAATCATGGAGGTAAGAAACGAAAGAGTTGCCAATCCGGCATTAGAAGTGAAGCATGGCCACACAATGGCTCCGAAGCTTCGGTCACCAGATGGGGTGTTTTTGTTTACATTCAGAAGCTCGCTTGCCAGCGCTCTGATAGTATTTCGGCACACGACAATTGCATACAAATCGAAAAATGGGACACTTCTGAATAAAAGAAAAATTCCTGGTGTGATGGATAATAGCAATTTGTATAGTTTAGTGACATTTACCCAAAAATCACATCTTGGTTATTTTTCGATAACTTACAACAGCGATTTTGATTACGAATTTTTTTTTTATAAAATTCTAAGCTCTTGAACTAAAAAAATATAGATTTTATCAAAAACGTTATGCTTAAAGAATGAAAAATACCTCACCGTACCTTTAAAATTGTATATATCTTTCGAGACCCTTGATAGAGTATTCGCCACTTTTATTTTATAATCCAAACGCCAAAATGTTTTAAATAAAATAAATTTTTTTCACATCCACATGTTATTGTAACATTTACTTTTTAAAAATTAGTGTAAATAACTTTACTCGAAAAATATACTGAATGCACAGAAATTAAAAATTTCCACATGCCGGAACTGAAAAATGGTATTTATGCATGTGCTGGCAAAAAGCATGTATCTGCATTTAACAAAATACGTAAATATTTATTAAATTATTTATAAATGTATTTGAAATGAAGGATTTATTCATTCATAAACAACTGTGAATGTTACTGTGAAAAAATCTAATTATTAAATGTATCTAAATTTATAATGATTATAAATATTACCTAAATATATGATAACCTTAACATTGAATTGTAAACATAAATTGACATCCTGTTGACAAATACGTTATAAAACTAGTTAAGCAAGAATTGTTCGTACTGGAAAGCAATTTGTTAAAAGGTATTGTAAAGCAATTTTTATGAGATGCGTACTTAAGAAAGTTATAAAGAAGAGTTTTGGAATATGTATTGTTGAAATTAAGGGTGAAAGTATAATTAAAAGAATTATTCCCCTTACATTTTATAATAACTCAGTTACAAGTTTTAAATAATATTTAAAAAATAATCCTTATTTTATTCTCTTTCAGAAATATTCAGAGAAAGTCAAGTACTATTTAAAGTATTTCGCTATTAAATGAAAAGATGCTCTAATTTGAAATGGACCGAATAGAGCATTAATTATAAATTACTTATAGTTTTCGATTTAAAAGATGCCTCAGAAGCTAAAAAATCATGTCATATATGAGAAAGTATTTTAGGAAGAAGCTCTATAAATAGAAAAGAAATAATGCATAATTTTAATAATGTAATAAACTTTGATCTTAATTTCTGTAATCCTTAACCGAATCAAATCGAATTACCTTAATTTTTTTCTAATGTAATTAACGAAAATTGTGAAAGTATTTCAAATTAAACCATTCTGAGCAAATTGTTCTGTGAAAAGTATAGCATTTAATTCCGTTCAGAATGAAATGTTGTTTAAAACTGTTTTCTTTTCATATACTTAGGACTCTGAAGTATTGTAGAAAAAGAAAATATATACATTTATATGCATATTTAGGACGTAATTACAAAATATTTACATCCGATCGTGTCAAAACATATTGAACTCCGTGGTAAATTACCCAATGTTTTGGTCACCAAAGAAGGGATCGCCAGTTCAAAGCAGGGTATGGGGAAACTGGTTTGGGGCCACTCCATCTAACTTCTAGCTCCATGCTACGAATACATATTCTTTGGCTCAAGTACTATACACTATTTGGATTCCGAGGATGGACGGCGAGGGTGACGGTCGCTCGTGTAATGAGCTCCCGCCAACGCAGGGCAATTCCGGAAATTTTATCATGGGTAATGATATTAATGATGAAGCTATGTGTGAGATTAGGGATCAGGCTCCCTCTGTGCAATCAGCGTCGCCAGATGACGAACGCATGAATCTGGTAATCAAGTTCTACGACTTGAAGCAGCAATTCGAGGCTATACAGCGTCAGAAAAATCTTCATGAAGAAGACGCCAACACCACTGGACTTAAATGGATACGACCAGCTCGACCGGGCGGGTAAGTCACTCTTTCATAAGATAAATGATATTGCAAATGCTCTTGATGTACCTATTTTCCACCTTCCCTCGACCAGAGAGGAATTTTTAAATATATTGGAGAGTGAGCGCTTAGCCAAGATGGCTGCCGCTCAATCCACAGAAGATCCTCGTAAGCAAGAGGCATCTATTCCCACGCACGAGGTCATGGAGGTAGGAAAGGGTTACTTCCTACCTCCATGACCAAATACCACCAGAGAACTGACCATTTGCACGTGGAATGCCAATGGATTGGCACCTAAAATCCACGAAGTTCGTGATTTTGTAGTAGAGCACGGTATTGACGTGTTTTTAGTCCAAGAGACTCACTTTACCCCAGGGAATTCTCCCAAAATTGGGAATTATGACATTTACTGTACTGGCAGGGTGTCACAGGGCAGATATCCCAGTGGTGGCACTTGTATCTATGTGGATATACTGGATATTTGAACTGTCATTCATAAAATTGAATTTTAGGCCGTTATTAGAGGTTCATCACTGAAAAACAGAAGACATGGGTCTAAAAATGCCGAATTAGGTTGAAAGCTCAACATAGCTTTCATAAATATAAAATGCCCTCATTAAAGCATCTGCTTGCCTGAGTTTAGGCATTGCTTTTTTAGAGCATTAAACTTGGGATATTTCTTCGGATGAACATAGTGGCAGCACATTTTGCGACATTAATTTTGATTTTATACAGACCGAGCCAGAGTTTTAAGGTCGAAAGGTAACTCTGCAATTGGGAGATTACCTGGAGGGTGTTGGAGTGTTGTGAAATGATGGCTGTATCGTCTGCGTATAACGCAAGATCGATATTTGGGGCCTTAGGAATATCATTTACATAAAGGTTAAAGATTGAAGGGCCAAGGAGGCTACCTTGAGCTACCCCAGCATAGATTGGGCGGGGAGAGGAGAATTCGTGGTTAACTCGCACGCGGAAACTGCGTCCGGTCAAGTACGAGTTAATAATTTTAATGAGATGAGCCGAAAAACCAAGCCGCATGAACTTGTAAATAATCCCGTCATGCCAAGTCCTGTCAAAGGCTTTGGCAACGTCCAAATAGACAATACCAGTTTTCTCTCGCTTACGAAAGCCTTCATGAATGAATTCCACTACACGGAGTAACTGGTGTACCGTGGAGTGTTTAGGTCGGAAGCCGAATTGTTCCGGGATTAGTAAATTTTGATCCCGACAGAATTCATTCAGGCGATTAAGTAAGACAAATTCATAGATCTTAGAGAGAGAAGATAACAGACTTATGGGTCTGTAATTGACGGGTAAGTTTAAATTTTGTCCCGGTTTTGGAATGGGGACGACTGCTGCAATTTTCCAGCAGTCGGGGAAATAGCTTCTCCTGAGCATTAAATTTATGAGTACCGTGATCCATACGATAAACATAGGGGGGAAGTTTTTGATCATGCGATTCGAAATAGAATCTATGCCAGGTGCCTTGTCAGGTTTCAATTTGTTAATGAAAACCATAACTTCAGTAGGGTCCGTTGGACGGAGTTCAGTAGTGATGGGTTGTGTTAAAAAATCTTTAACCCGTGCTTGTATGCGCCCCTGTGTAACCGGGCGGTTACAGTAGGAGTCGTGATTTGGTGTGAATTGAGTTGCAAGGCTGTCAGCTATGACATCAGCCTTTTCTGAGTCAGTGTAGGCCATCTGTGCGCCATCGGCCGTTTGAAGGGGCGGAATGAGTTTTTTTATGTTTGCGTAATCGGGCGGCTGCGCGCCAAATCGATTTGTCTTCAGTCGTTAGGGACTCAATGTATGTTTTCCACTCCGCTTGTTTTAATAAGCGGGTTTCGGTCCTTATCTCGTTCTGTATCTTGCGAAATTGGGCACGGATATTGGGATCTCGTGACCTTTGCCAAATTCTTCGCAAGTAGTTTCCGCTGCTTAATTTTGAATTTAGTCTCAGGTGGGAGCCTAGCACCTGGGTGTTTGCGTGGTTTTGAAGCCGCAGCTCTCGCTTCTTTCAGTAAAGACTCCAAACTTTTGATATGCCTGTCAAAGTCCGAATTGCTGGAAATTTTGATGGGAGGGAGTGAAGTTTTTTCCAAAATAAATCTAAAGTCGTCCCAATTTGTTGAGACTTGCTCCTCTAATTTTGAGTATCGATTTTGAATATCTAGGGTTATCAAAACGGGGTAGTGATCAGAGTCCAATTCCTGAATCACTTTTATCTCATGCCGAAAAAATATATTATAAAAGGCAGCCAGATCAAGAACTGCAGGGGACCCTCTAACAGGGTAAAAGTCGGGAGGGTAGGAGCTATGATCTGTACATGGTTACTACTCTGGCACCATGAATTTAGACTAATACCATACCTGTTCCTATTAGAACAAAACCATGCGGTATGGCGTGAATTTAGATCACCAGCAATAATTAGGTGATTTGAAATATTCAAAAGTTTATCAAAATCACTGACAGGAAAAGCTGACCTTCCACGTGCTGTAGACAGTGGAGGTAGATAAGCTGAGACTATTGTCAGCGGGGAGGAATATTGAAAAGCTGGCATTCCACGTGCTGTAGACAGTGGAGGTAGATAAGCTGAGACTATTGTCAGCGGGGAGGAATTTTGAAGGAAAATTTTGATGATTGTCGCTTCCAAAAAATTTAAATCAGGGGACGGTATCATGTGGTGC